TGTGTTGTGTTGCAAACGGTGCCATTTGCTAGAGAGTTTGCCAATAAGATGATTGGTTTGGTTCAAGAACAGGATGGAAAATTGTATGTGGGGTCTCGTTTCACTAATTTCATTGGTGTCTTACTCTAATTAGACATATGTACATGTGTTTGTGTTGTATTATGAAATAAAATGTGAATGATGTAAAAATAAAGGGGCAATCTAATTAAGGGTTGATTTCATTTTTTATAGATTATTATCCCTTTCACTTGTTTTTATAAATTATTTAAGTATTTTGTATGAAAATATATAATAATATTACTCGATAAATAATGTTTATACCAAGTTAGCTCTTTGCCCAAAGTAATCACCAAGGGTATTTTAGGGTTATCATAGAAGTTGAAAGTAATGCACTGTATAATATATTATGATTTACTACAACAAGGAAGAGACGTATAGGTGGCATTAGGGGTGAGTTGAAGAGTGGGGGTGGGGTGAGTTGGGGGTGGTTGGGTTGTCGTAGGTGAAGGGGTGGGGAAGAGTATGTGTATTTTACAAAATATTTCGAGTTGGAAAACTATGGAAAACAATATTTATTGGTTTTTCAATGTTTTCCAACTTTTTTGTAATTTTAGAAAATGAAAATTTTTCATTTTGTTGGAAAAAATTTGAAAGAAAAAATTATTAACTAAACAAGTTTTCAAATTTTTTATTTTTCTTTGAAATTTTTTTTCCAAAAAACACTCATTTTTTCTGTAATGAACGCTTCTCAGCAAAACTCAATTATAGCATTGTACATTCAATTTTACCTTATTAGAACATTACAAATTTATACTTAAAATAATATACCCAATTATAACAATGAAAATTGCTTTGTATATGAATGACATTGCTATAATTGGTAGATTTTTAAAAATATAATGTTGTAATAGGAAGAAGTGAAATGATGTTATAATAAAAAATTCAATCCAAGTATGTTGTTGTTTCTTGTATGTAACCCTATTATTAAAAAAAAAAGTCTCTCATAGCAATCATAACAAGCCCTGCAATCTCTTATTACTTCCTTCCCATTACTTTTCCCGTCCCATGAAAATTTGAACACTTGTTTTGGCGAAAGTTTTTTTGGTAAATTATCTATTTCTCTGTTATCATCATTACAAATAAATCAATTTGCATCTAGAAGATTCATCTATTGCATCTTAATTTTACATTACATCCTAGAATTTTTCTGTAACTTTGATTGATACAATGTTCCAAGTCTTCTTAATCAGGTAAGTTAATTGCTACAATGTTCTTGAACATTTAATGATTGTTGCACATGCGAACTACAACATAAGTTCAATGGTTTCGAGAAATGTAATAGCAACAGTACTCTTTGAGATTTAAAATAATTCCATTTAACATATAACACACTGCAAAAATTAACCCTTCCTGTTCTAAAGGAGTCTTTATTAGGCCGGACGCAGTGGGTACGGGGAAAAGAGGCAGGAGCCTTCCCGCCCGGTGGAACACCGCACCGTTGGTGCGGGTAAGGTGTGTGCAGGAAACGGAGAGGGGAGCCTCTCCCGCTCTCTCTCTCTCTCCTGCTGTGATTGGCCTTTTTTTTCTTTTTTTGAAAAATTACCGTTGATTAACGGTAAAAAAATGATTTTATTTTATTTTTTATGTGGGTGTAACGGCTACTTTGTATTTATTTATTTATTTTTTTATCCTTTTACAACTACTATAAATATATACACATAACTTTTAAACATATCAAATTATTCTCTATACTCTCTACTTTATATATCAACAAAAAAAAAATGAATCCCGACAAGCAAACCTCAAGTTCCGATCGACAGAAAAAAAAAGTCATGGTTCGAGTATAAACATCCCTCCTCGCAACATTTTTGCTATCGATTCATCCCAGCAAAGAGTTTACCGCCCCCAACTCGATGCTCCCATTCAATCACCACTACAATTTCAATACCAAAATGTTGGTCAATATTACCCGATGCAAGTTTCAAATGTTCCGTCGCAAATGTTTTCAAACTTTGTTGTGTTTCCGGATCAACAATCGTCAAATCAATCTCAACCCCAAACTCAAACTGAAACTCAATCCCAAACCCAACACCACCACCAACTTGTCGATGAATCGAATGACGCGGAAGAAGAAGACATGGTTCCTGAAACTCAACCAACACCACCACTACAAAGACGTAAAGGGAAAAAAAAACAAGTGCGCGAGGGTGTCGCACAACCGGAAAGACAAAAGCCGACACTATGGGTTCCACACGAAGAGCTAGTTTTGGTCAAAGCTTGGGTTGATATTTTTGAAGATTCGATTCAGGAAAACGCACAACCAGGAGAACATTTTTGGTTTTGCATTTTAGAACGATTTCGAGGGGAGCTAGGAAAATGTGACGATTACCGTACGAAATATCAACTTAACTCGATGTTTCGAGAAATAGCAAGGGGGGTTTCAAAAATTAACGGGTTGTACAACAACCTACAAAACCAACGAAAAAGCGGCCAAAGCGACGAAGAAGTACTTCACGAAGCGTTGCAGTTTTACCTTGAGGAAGTCGGAAAACCATTCAAGTGGCACGACTGTTGGAAATTATTGGTCTGAAGTCCTAAGTGGAAAAAGTACGAGCGGGGTTTTATTTTTGGAGTCCAACAATCAAAGCGCACGAAAACGAGCTCTAGTGGTTACACAACCTCCTCCGATGGTCGGGTCGGTCAAAATTTAAATCAGGACGACGAACTCGAGCTAGAAGAAATTGAACGCCCAATGGGCAGGGACAAAGCGAAGAGAAAGGGAAAAGGGACTACTTCGAATGCATCTGATTTCAGCATGGACATTGACGAAATGTGGAAGATAACATCGTTGTTTGATCGATATAATCTAAATTTCTTCGAACGTTTGGCTTTCGACAAAGAAAAAGAAGAAACAAGGAAAAAGGAGCGGGCGGAGAGATAAGAAATGGAAGACATGAAGTTTTTGATGGAAAACGTCGATCATCTCTCGGGACCGTCTCTCGAGCTCGTAATGAAGAAGAGGGAAAAATTCTGAAAAAATATTTTCCGTAGGTCGTTAGTGGTTTGTTTGATTTTTAGTTTATATGTGTTTTTTTTTCTACTTTTTTTATAATTAGGTTTAATGTAAGTTTTATTTAAATTAATGAAATGCTTTTTGTTTTTAATTAAGTTTTATGTTTAGTATTAATTTAAAAATCATAATTCATAACAAAAAAATTAATTTTATTTAAATTAAAAAAAAATTAAAAATAAAATAAATAAATAAAAATTAAAAAAATTAAAAAAAAAATAAAAATAAAAAAATAAAAAAAAAAAAGTTTCACTCCCACTCCTTGGCTTTTAGGTGAGGGAAAGAAGGGTATGGTCCGCCAAAAGTGAGGGAACCTTCCCTCTCACTCCTTCCAGTCTTAGTAGTTTGTCATGTGGCATGACTCGATGTTTTGAGGAGTCTTAGCCTATCCCCTTTGGTTTGAGTTTATTTCATATGATTCGTTCTTTATTTTCATTTTCGAAAACTATGGTGGCGTTTGGTTCACAGAATGTTTTTTGATGGAATTGAAATTTGTTAAGGAATTGGAATCTGTCATGAATTGCAATCTAATTTTATATTTTGTTTGGTAGGCAGAAATGAAGTTTGAATCCAATTCCATATTATGTTTGGTTGGCAGAAAATGGAACTGAAATAATATAAAATAACAAGATTTCCTTTTTTCCTTTCTTTTTTTTTACTTTGTTTTATAACTTATATGTAAAATATACTATATAAATTATAAAATTAGTAAATTATGGTGATGGTGTCAATGATGTTGATGGTGGAAATAGGTGATGATGGGTGACAGAGGTGATGGTGGGTAGTGACGGAGGTCATGATGGTGGTGGTAGTAGTTATTGTGATGGTGATGGTGGCAGTCATGAGTAGCGGCGAAGGTGGTGGGTGGTGTAGTGATGGAGATGGAAAGGGTGGTAGTAATGGTGGTGGTGATGAAGGTAGTGGCGAAGGTGTTAGTGTTGGTGGCGGAAGTGATGACAGTGGTGGTGGTAGTGATGGAATGTTCACGGTGGTGAGTGGCGGTGGAGGTGGAAGGTAGATGTGGTGATAGAAATGGTGATGGTGGTGGAGGTGGAGAGTGATGGTGATAGTGGTGGTGTTGGGTGGTTGTGGCGGTGGTGGGTGGTGGTAGAGGTGGTGTGTAGCGAGTGGTAACGGTGGTGATGTGTGGTGGTGGAGGAGGTGGTGATAAGGTTGTAGGTAGCGGTGGCAGTAGTCGATGTTACTGGAGGTGACGGTGATAGTGGGTGGAGGGTGGTGGTAACGGAGGTACCGGTGGTGGTGGGTGGTGTGTAGTGGTGGTGGGTGGTAGAGGAGGTGGAGGTGGTGGTGGTTGCGACGATAGAGAGATTTCATATGTACTGTTAAAAGTAAAATGGGTAATATAGTAAAATTCAACATTCTCATTTGAAAGAAATTTTAATTCCTTAAATTTTGGGATAAAATTTATTTTCCCACATTGGAAGGAAAATTTGACTCAATTAGGAATCAAATTCTTTTTGAAAGTTTGTAATGGAATTAGATTCCAATTCCAATAGATTCCAGCGAACTAAACGCACCTATTTGTATTGTTGTTAATAGCTTATGGTATTTAGTAAATGCAAATAATGTTACCACCCCCCCCCCCCCCCCCCCAAAAAAAAAAAAAAAAAAAAAAAAGACCACACTCAAGCCCAATTTGACCCAACGTTTGAGGATTAGGCTATGAATAATTTGGGCCCTGGCCCAGGTAGAGCTAAGCTAAGCCCAATTTCTTTTATATATAAACTTATGTTTTAATATTAAACTATAACTAAATTTTATAACACAACTTGTTGTGATTTTCTAAACTTAGACTTTTATTCCCAATATGGCGCCTTATGGGTAAGAACCTCACATCATGGTTGTTACGCACATTCCCAATAAATACGACGGCTAATAATACATACATTCCTATATAAAGACAAGCATCATGCAATGCTCTTCCATGGCTCCCTTCACATATCCAAATATGGCTTCTCCACAAATACTTTTGATTTATATTACATTTCTTTGCATTTTTGGAAACTTTGTTTCTAGTCAATTCACCAATTTTAGTACGTTAGTATTGCCTTCAGGAGTCACCGGTCCTGAATCAGCTGCATTTACAAGACTTCCAGTTACTGGACCCTTTACCACCGTAACTGATGGTAGGATTATGAGATGGAGAGGACCTAGAATCGGTTTTGTGGATTTCGCATTTACATCTCCAACAAGGTTATTTTCCAACTTTATGTGTAATTAATTATATTTATGCCCCCTAAGGTGGTAATATACTTATGCGCTTTTTTTTTTTTTTTTTCTTTTTAATTCTTGGAATATGTTTTCAGGACAAAGAGACGATGTGATGGCACCACAGATCCTAACATGGGACCAACATGCGGACGACCAATGGCTCTTAGTTTTCACCCGGCAACCAACCTTCTATACATAGCCGATGCATATCGTGGACTTCTGGTTGTGGGCCCCCTCGGTGGGCTTGCAACTCAGCTAGCCGGAGGGTTCAAGTTTCTTAGTGGCGTTGACGTTGACTTGTTAACAGGCAATGTTTATTTCAGCGATGTTAGTTTGACTTATACTATCAGGTAACCACTTTGACTTCATCCAATACACATGTTATAACATACGATATTACAAATTTACAATTATTTCATATATTGTGCAGAGATGTTACACAACCAGGATTTAGGCCTGATTCAACAGGGAGGTTCATGCGTTACAACCCACGTACCAAACAAGTGTCGGTTTTGTTGAGTGGTCTCAACGGTGGTGGTGGACCTGCAGTCAGCAGCGATGGAACATTTGTTCTTGTTCCTGAGCTTACTGGCAATCGGATTTCAAAATACTGGCTTGCGGGGCCCAAAGCAAATACCGCGGAACCTTTGCTAAATGTTACTAATCCAAATAAAATAAAGCGTGCAAGTGGATATGGAGAGTTTTGGGCGGCGGTTTCAGATGGATTCATGCCACCGTCGCCTCTCATTACACCTCAAGGGGTGCGGTTCGATTCAAATGGGCTTGTGCTACAAACGATATCATTCGCTAAAGAGTTTGTCAACAAGACAATTAGTTTGGTTCAAGAACAAGATGGAAAACTGTATGTGGGGTCTCGTTTTACTAATTTCATCGGTGTTTACTCTAATTAGACATGTGTGTGTTGCTTTGTGTTGTACTATGAAATAAAAGGTGAATGATGTTAAAATAAAAGGGCAACCTAGTATAAAGGTTGATTTCCTTTTTATAAAATTTTATAGTTCTATCTATTTCTGTACGAAATTTTTAATAATAGTACTTTATAAACAATGGTTATACCAAGTTAGCTCTATGCCTAAAGTAATCACTAGGGGTATTTTCGGGTTATCATAGGAGTCGAAATTAATACAATGTATAATATGTTATCATTTACTAGTTTACTACAACATGAAACAGACATAGTGGTGGTGTTGGGGAGTGAGGAAGAAACATTATAACTGAATCATGGTCATTCTAAAAGCACCAAATTCATATGCAGTTCTTGATGTTTTTTTTTTTAATATTTGATTCATTTAATACACATATAAGCAAAGAGAAGAATTCTTGCTTGGCTTTAACAGGTTTGTAGAAGTTCAACGAGTGTTGAAACCTGCAAGAAATCCTTCAACTTCTTCTGGCTTTGCATTGGAAAGGCCTGCATTATTATATATATTAAAACACTATTTCACTATACACATAATAACTAAAAGCATATAGATTGTTAACTTGCAATGTATATTTTTACCATTTCCACCAATTATCTTTAATAAATCTTCATTCCATAAATGCAATTTCTGGAACCTAGCACTTTGAGTTTCATCCTCTCTTTCAGTCTTTAACTTCTCCACTTTTGTGTGTAATTCTGCTGCAAGTTTTTGCAGCTCTGCAACAAACAATGGCATCCAAAATCTTCAGTGCATTGTTCGTTTAAGCAAAGTTTTAAAGACTATTCTTCCAAGAAAAAATGGCAGGTTATATACAGAAGTAAGGACCTTGGAATGCAACATTTTCAGAAATTTGGTCAGATAGCTTTGTTAGTTCACTTATGGCAGTTGCTTGATTGTTGTTAATGGAAGATTGTCTTTCCAATGCTTGAATCTCTCTCTTCAATTGAACAGACTCCTGTTCAGCCTTTTTACAAAACACAAAACTTATTATTTATCAAACATAACAAGGAACAATATAAACCAAGAATAATTTATTGAGTAGAATCAGAATTTTATTACCGAAGTAAGTTTTGTTCTCAAGGACACCAACTGGGAGTCAAGATCAGGGATACCAAGTCCAACAACATCAACATCCATTATATCACCAACAGATGCCTCATCCTGAAGTTTGTATATACACAAACATTGGAGATTTAGAAGTTCATATTTGGGTTAAATCAAACCACATAAGTTAGTGATAGATTAGAAGAAGAAGTAAAGGGATGTACATCTTTGGGCAGTGAAAATCCTTCTGGAACCACAAATAAGCGAAGAAAACAGTACTTCTCCCACATAGTCAATCGCTTGTCCAATGAAGATTGAATTGCTTTTCGGATGTAATCCAAGCCCTAAAATGACATTTAGAATGGAAAAATAAAACCTGTTAACCAAATAATCCACAATTTAGGGTACAACAACTGAACCAAGTAGAAACGCAGATAACAAACAGTTGAGGCGATTTGAACAACATCTGAAATAAAAGAGAAGTGAAAAACAGAAACAGGTGGTAAACCTTGGTTAAATCTTCAGCCCTATCTGAAGCATCGACCTTGAGTTGAGCTGAAGCCTCCCTGTAAGAACACAGTTAGTCTTTTGCATAGTGAATAGTTACTATCAGGAAATGATGATAGAAACGGACTGATGAAGATGCTCGAAGGCGCTCGCGATCAATTCGTCGACGATGTTTAGGGCGGCGTTGAGGAATAGCTGCGGGTTGAGGTTTAAGGAATCAAAAATCACCTCGCTTTCGCTGCCCTCCATCTCCACTATCTCTTCTCTTTCGCTGGATCTGGAAGAAACCCAGATTTCCTGGTGAGAATTTGGAAATTTCCCGCCGGATATAATCAAAATGGTAAATTACACAGTTTTCGTCCCTCATCCAGGTCACGTTTTGTGGTTTTATTTTCAAAAATTAAACCGTACTTAAGCATTTATATCGACATGAAATTACTATTTTGTTATTAATATATTTTTTTTTAATTTTATTTATTTATTTATCAGTTTTAAATTAGAAAACAAAAAAACAAAACAAATATCCCCACCCCTCCCCCTTTCATTTCTTGCAACAAGATTCTCCCGACCCACCACCACATATCATCGCCGGCTCTTCCGGCACCCACCACCAATCACCACTAACTCTTTCTCTTGTTTAGCGCCTTCTCCACAACCCTAATCTCACACAAATGACCATCGATTTCAAGAAAACCATCATTCATAGCCACCAATCTCCATCAGAAACTACCATCACCTACGTTACTCTGATCTTCACATGATCATACTTGTAACTCAAAAAGAAAGAAGAATTGTGAAGAGGAATCTGTGATTGAGAGAAAGAGGGGCGAAAGGTGGGGTGATAGAAAAACATAAGCTTGCAATCGATCCACCCTTCACCTTCATGCCGGATTCGATTCCAATGGTAGAGCTTGATGATCTCCATATCTCAGCCACGGTGGAGGCAAAGATCGAAACCCTAGCAGCCGTCGATGGCAGTTGTGGAGCTCGATGCATATATCGAACCCATCAGTCGATGATAGGATCTGTCAAAACCCTAATCAGAGCATTGTTTATAGTGAACTAAGTATATCAAACCTTACTATATATACAACTATAAACACAATGGGCTAAAACGCTCTGACTAAAAATATACTTTTAAAATCTAAGTATTTTATAAGAAGTATACAAGCATACATACATACCAGAAACAGTATCATAGTAAGAACTACACAAAAGTATTTAGATGTAGGATGTTGCAGTTAAACCTAGATAGTTATGTAATCAAATTTTGGATAAATATAATCTGATCAACTATATTTATTTTAGATACGACCAACATGTGTTTGGGAGTGATCGTGGTGTTGCAACAAGTCTAAAACTTACCAACTCTATATACAAGAGAAACTTTAGAACCAAACGTAAAGAATAAAATCATATAGGAGTATTTTATGAACCTGCAACACTAGAATAAGAGCATTTAGGCCTCGATAGTTAGATATACTAATAGTCGATAATGGCTTTCTTACTAGAATCGAACATGAGAATACAAAGAACCCTTGCCGGCAGGTTTATAATTACTAAGGGTATACGTAAGAGTTATATATAATTAAGACTTTATAGACTTAGAATTTGTGATTTAGCTTTACTTCCTGTTCCTTGTTTGGTTGTGGACTTAGAGTAGAGTCACTCATTCGAAGGTCTATTTAGTCTTGGTTATATATAATTTGTATACATTAGGTGATTATCGGGGGACCCAGTGTGAGCCACACTATACAAATTCTTTACAAGTGTTTCTCTAAATGAAGTTGGCGATTGTTTACTTATATTACTAGACTTCCACTGTAAATCGCTTAATAGAATACTATAACAGTCAGGATAAGATATATCTTGTTCAAATATCACCTGACTCATTACCAACATAGAGGACTTATCATCATTTCCTCGTTAATCAATATAGAGAAAGATGCCTCCAAAGAAGTCCAACAGGAAGAAAAACAACCCTTCGACGAATCCACCACCGGCACCACCTCCTCCGTATGACTCTGCTATTTTCCAATCAGTAGTAATCGTCGTTGTGTTAGCCACCATGATGCAGATCATTGCAAGTGGCACTAGCGGGGCTGGTAGTGGTGCCAACCCTTCTAACCACGGAGATAGTCATGGACACCTAAGGGAGTGTTCCTACAAAGACTGCATGAATGCTAAACCCAATTCCTTTAATGGCACCGGAGGTTTCATTTCTTTAACATGTTGGTTCGAGAAGACTGAATCGGTGTTTGAAATTTACGGGTGTCCTGAAGCTAGCAAAGTGAAATTTACAGCATGCACTTTAATAGACAGAGCTCTCTCATGGTAGAACAGCCATGTCAAGTCATTGACTCTCCTAGTAGCCAATTCCATGAGCTTAGAAAACTTAAAGGAACTTACGCTAGCAGAATATTACCCGAGGAGCAAGGTGAAAAAGTTAGAGCAAGAGCTTTGGGGGCTGACGATGAAGGGCTCTGATATTGCTGCATATACTGCCAGATTTAGTGACTTGGCTACTCTGTGTCCCGGGATGGTCACCCCGGAAAGTAAGAAAGTGGAGAGGTATATCTGTAGACTATCCCCTCAGATCCAAGGGAATGTAATAGCTGCAAATCCACTTACTTTTGACAGTGCCAAGCGTCTGGCACAGACTCTCGTGTATCATGGGGTTCGTCAAGGCTTCATGGCAGACATCCCCGAACAAACCAAGGAAAGCAATAACAAAAATAAATTCTAGAACAAAAGAAGTGGGCAATCGTCATAGGAGTCCTCAAAGAAACAGCAAACTGTAGCAGTCCACACTGCTACTGTTCCTGCTGTTACTCCTGCTGCTTCAACACCTCCCAGTCGATATGCTGAAAATCTTCCACTGTGTAGCAAATGCAACTTCCATCACATGGGAGTTTGCGGAGAAATACATTGCAAGAACTGCAACAGAAAAGGGCATGTTGTCCGTTTCTATAAGGCGCCAGCACAACCAACCAATCAGGCCCCTAGCGGAGGAGTCAACCAAGCTTGTTATGGATGTGATGAAACAAGGCACTATAAGAGGAATTGCCCAAAAGCAAGGAATGTTGGCAGCACAGGAAGAGTGCTAGAAATGGGTCAGGAGGAGGCAGTAGCAGATCCCACAGTAGTCTCAGGTACGTTCCTTCTCGATAACTCTTATGCATTCATACTCTTTGATAGTGGTGCGGAGAGGAGTTTCTTCAACCATAAATTTAAACACCTACTCAAACAAAAACCAAAATCACTAAACGAAACATTCACTGTCGACTCTAAATGACTATTCTTTCCCAATAGACCTCATGTCGGTCTCCATAAAAAACTTCAACGTCATCATCGACATGAATTGGTTAGGTCCTCACCGTGCTGATATTCTATGCTACGCAAAGCCATTCGCCTCAATATGCCAAGTGGCGAAACCCTCGTTATCTATGGTGACAAACCTAGTACGAACCTTGGCATTATCTCTTGCATCATAGCCCAAAAATACATTCACAAAGAGTGTCACACATTCTTAGCTCATGTAGTCAACGAAAAACAAGAAGTAAAAGACCTCAAGAGCATTCCCGAAGTCGGTAATTTTCCTAACATCTTCCCTGAAGATCTTCCAGGAGTTCCTCATGAACGCCAAGTCGAGTTCCGAATCGACTTGATTCCTGGAGCTACCCCTGTAGCCAAATCCGCGTATCGCCTAGCACTAGTAGAGATGCATGAATTATCCAGCCAATTAAACAAACTGCCAAGTAAAGGATTCATCAGACCTAGCTCTTCACCCTGGGGAGCACCGATCCTCTTCGTGAAAAAGAAGGATGGATCTTTCCGGATGTGCATAGATTACCACAAACTAAACAAGCTTACAATTAATAACCAATACCCTCTTCAGCGAATAGACGACCACTTCGATCAGCTCTAAGGTGATAGCTACTTTTCAAAGATTGACCTAAGATCAAGGTATCACCAATTACGAGTCCATGAGGGTGATGTTCCCAAAACAACATTTTGAACTCGTTATGGTCACTACGAGTTCGGAGTAATGCCCTTAGGTCTAACCATTACGCCCGCAATATTCATGGATTTATTGAATCGGGTATGTCGTCCCTTCCTAGACAAATTTGTGATAGTATTCATAGATGATATACTCATCTACTCATTGAGTAAGGAAGAACATAGCCAAAACCTGAGACAAGTCTTAGAAACATTAAGGGCGGAAAACCTTTATGCGAAATTCTCAAAGTGCAAATTTTGGATTAGGAAAGTAAATTTCCTTGGTCACGTGGTCAGCGAAGAAGGAATACACGTGGAACCCTCCAAAATAAAGGCATTCGAGAACTGGTCAGTACCCAGAACGCCAACAGAGATCCGCCAATTTTTAAGACTTGCTGGCTGTTACCGCAGGTTCATACAGAATTTCTCCAAAATCGCTAAACTGCTTACTGCCCTGACTCATAAGGGTGTAACTTTTAACTGGGGAGAGAAACAAGACACTGCGTTCCAAACACTGAAGCAAGCCTTGCGTAGCACACCTATCTTGTCCCTTTTGGAAGGAACTGAAGACTTCATAGTATATTGCGATGCATCCAATCAGGGACTAGGTTGTGTGCTTATGCAGCGAGGAAATGTTATTGCCTATGCCTCGAGATAGCTAAAGGAAACTGAAGTCAACTACACCACACATGATCTTGAGTTGGGAGCAGTAGTCCTTACACTAAAAATCTAGAGACACTACCTTTATGGTACCAAGTGCACCATCTTCACTGACCACAAAAGTCTCCAACACATATTTGATTAGAAAGAACTTAACATGAGACAACGATGATGTGTGGAACTACTCAATAATTACGCGCGATTGCTAAATTCACTACCATATTGCCGCAATAAGGAACCCATGCCCCCCGATGTAGGGTTAGCAGCCCACGAGTGTCATAGTTATCCTCAACTTCCGATGCTATTCCTTCATACCCTCAATTTCCGACTCTCAGATTCGATCCAAAAGTGGAGTCACCACCGTCATCCTCAAGCAGATGTGTCTGATCGAGGCTGCCTTGCGGCTAAGTGCATTGGACACCGACACTGCCTCATGTTCAGATTCGGCTGATCCATGAGGTACCTCAAACTCTTGTGGTCTGTGTAAATGGTACAACAAACTCCATAGAGATAATATCTCCAAATATTGAGGGCAAAAACAATGACCCCTAACTCCAGATCGTGCGTCAGGTAGTTCGCTTCGTGAGGCTTTAGCTGCCTTGAGGCGTACGAGATGAAATGCCCCCTCTGCATCAATCTGCGCCCAAGCCCGAAATGGATGCATCACAATACACTAGAAAATCCTCAATGCCCTCTAGCAGGGCTAAGATCAGTGCCTCACACAATCTCTGTCTCAAAGTCTCAAATGTTGCCTACTGCTCAGGCCCCCAGTGAAATAGAACGACCTTCTTCATCAGTCGAGTCAGTGGTACCGCTATCTTGGAGAAATCATGTATGAATCTCTGGTAATAGCCTTCTAAACCAAGGAAATTCTGAATCTTGGATGGAGACTTCAGGAACTCCCATCTTATCATGGCCTCCACCTTGGCCGGTTCGACCAAATTACCGTTATGCTTGACAAGGTTCCCCAGAAACTACACCTCGCGCAACCAAAGCACACACTTGGAGAACTTGGCATACAAGCTCTCCCTCCTCAGGGTATCCAACACCTCCCGCAAGTGCTCCTCATGTTTCTCTTGTGTCTTAGAGTAAACCATGATTTCATCAATAAAGACTATCACAAACCGATCTAGAATCATTCTACATACACGATTTATGAGATCCATGAACGTGGCAGGGGCATTGGTGATCCCGAAGGGCATCACCACGAACTCGTAGTGACCATAGCGAGTCCGGAAAGGAATCATTTGTACATCCTCATCTCTGACTCGAATCTGGTGGTAGCCTGAACGCAAATCTATCTTGGAAAACCAAGATGCCCCCTGTAGCTGGTCGAA